CACACAGTCGAATCGTCGATTGTCGATTTAAATCTGCATTTCCTGCTCCTGGTACTGCTCCTTCTCCTGCTTATACTGTTGCTGGTTCATCACACTTTACCTAGGAGTAAGAGCCAATCGATTTTATGCCATGTGCCGTTTTTTGCACTTGCTATGCAAGCGAATTTCAAGTGGAAGACTTGTTGGGCGAGTGGCAAGCGCTGTCTGTACCTCAGCCCGTTGTATGCTTGGCAAACTTTTCACACTCCCATAAACTGTACTCTGTTGATATACCAGCAAAGTACACACACACCATACTCACACAGCTGCATTTGTGGCAGTAAAAAAGAATATGCTCGATTCTGCCGTTGGCTGAGTTCTTTTTATTGTTGCGCACTCACCCAAAAACACACACGACGTTGTCCTTAGTTCGAAAGTGTTAGAATCGTTACGATGTGCATCAATTGAGGCTGGCAAGTAGGAAATCATAAATAGTTATTGACATCCAAAATCAAGTGTGTACATACAAATTGTGTACATACAAATTGTGTACATACAAATTGTACAAGGCATCTGGCAGCCCTTTTTATTGCACACTTGTAGTCCAGGTGATGTGTGTTTATCATAGCGTGTGTCTGCTGTAATGTAATCGTTCATTGTTGTACCGCAATTACATGCTCAACTTGCAAGTCTTGAGCTGCAGTTGGTAGCTGTAGTTATCGATCCGAGCCTGAATAGAGCCATGGCTGGAAATCGAAGAGCGCACCCAACCAGCAGGATAATAAAAAAATGTAATGAAAGTAGCAAAAAACTGGCGCACATTTTATGGTCAATAAAACGGGGAGCCTTTTGAGTTTATTGAAACCCTTGGACTGCGCATTGAAAAATCTTTTGCTGCCATCTGACCCTCATCAAAAGGAGACGACCTATCAGTGAAAACTGAAATGCAGACAACATAAAAATCAGAAAGTACCTGCGCTTCTCATTCGCTCAACACGACTGGCTTATACAGCCAAAGTGCGAAATGGAGGGAAATAGATACATATATGGACTGGCAAAGGACATAATTTTCTGTGCAATTATTTGACAACACCTATACAAACATATTGCGGATACTGTGGTTGCGCGTAATGGGCAAGTTGAGGTGTGAAAAAACCCGAGTCGCTTACCCTAAATGACACACACATACACAGAGTACTGCATCTGGCCACCAAGCTGTCTGTGTGTGCGTGTGTGTGTGTGTGTGTGTGTGTGTGTGTGTGTGTGTGGACTTGTCTCTGTTTGCATTCCCTTTTGCGGTTTATATTTGTGACCCAATTTATGGTCAGGATAGCCGGGGCGCATCGCTTGAAGCGCTCATTTGTTTTGCGGCTGTTCCCAAAATAATGGCAGGTAGCTGCCAGCAGCACACACACACGCACACACACGCACACACATGCACACACATGCACACACTCACTCATATGCTCACTCAGACTCACACACACGCAAATTGCTGTTGGTCGTATTTAATTCCACCTAATTAAATTCAATTGCTGGGATTTTGTCTTTTGACAAGTGCGCACGACTTCATTAATGTCTGTTCATATTATTATAAATATTATATATGAACGACATTAATATCGTTTCCTTGGCAGCAACAACTAAGACTTATTTATAAATCAAATCAAAGCAAAGGCCAATTATGAACAGCTACAATGTGCTCATTTAAATTAAATCAAATATTTTATTATATTATCCGAAATAATTAATATATATGTCCAGAATATAAAGTACAGCGTTCTTCGTACATAAATTCCGATTGGCCGGGTAATCGATATGGTTTATATAAATGATATCAATATTGTTTGTTGTTGGTAGCAACTAATATGGCGTATGTAAAAAAGAATTTATAAAAATGCAAGAAAAATAATATGTTTTGGCTTTAATCATTATCTTATCTTTGATTACGAATTTGTCTGTGCTGCTCTTTTCGTAGACACATTTCGATTGGCAGGGTAATCGATATCATTTGTCAAGTCCACTGGCAATGATGTAATCTCAGCCGAATTCAGCAAATTATTGGCGGAAATGTTGGCACATTTCAATAGCTGCAAATGCTTTCTGTGGACATGTATGGGGGTGAGTGGGAGTTTTGTTTGTATTGCGGCCAACAATGGCCAGTGGTCTATTGGCATAGCAGAGGCAAATGTGGAGCAATCAGTGCGCTGTTATGCGATATCAACAATACTTAATACTATTAATATTTTATGATTATTGCTGGCCATGCAAGACGCCAAACAATGGGGAAAATTGAACTTTTTATGCTGCTGTTGCTTCCGGGCAATAGAAAATACGGAATTAATTTCAAACACAAACACTAATATATAATGGCAACAATAGCAGAGCCAAGCGACTTTTTGTGTGTGTTTGCGTATGTGTGTGTGTGTGTGTGTGTGTGTGTGTGTGTAGCAAAGGCAATAGAAATGTCGGTCGTGTGGATTAATAATTCAATTGAATTGCACAATGCGTCGCATGCGTTTTATACTTAATATGCAAAGTGCCTTCCAGCGAGCGAGTTTAGATAGAAAAATGCATATATATATATATATGTATATATGTATGTGACTTTAATGCAAGCGGACTTTGTGCTGGCGAAAGATTATGAAAAATGTCGCTCTGATGCAATATCAATGTCAGTGCCTGTGCCAGCGGAATAGAAATTCCCATTAAAAATTTCCACAGAATTTGTCCGTAAAATGCACGACTCAACGCACTCGACTGATGTGAGCCAAAATGCTCGCCTGTCAATTAACTCGATAACATTGTTTACAAAATTGGCACAATTCAGTTATAAAGGACGTAAGCAATGTTTATAATGCTGTTTAGTGCAGGGCTCTTTATAAATTAGCTAAAAATCAATATACGCGTAAAATGTCAAACAACCTTGTTGCCCGTTCCCCGCTGCCTGTTGCCAGCTTCCCATTGCTTGTTTTGCCAGCTGCGTCTGTGCCGCAGGATACTCTAAGTGCTGCACGTCAACTTATGTGCTACTCATTATTTACATTCGATTGCAAGTTAAACGTGCGAACAGCTCTGCACAGTGTAAACTTTATCATTCCTCGCCTGAAACATGAGTTTCAGCTATGGTTGCCATACAGCGCATACTAAACTCTTATTTGTGTGCCTGTGTCTGTATTTTCTCAGTATTTTTCATATCCTTTACGTGGCACGTAATTTTTTTGTTTGCCAAATAAAGGATAAAGTTAGATGTAACTGGGCGTCCTCCATACCATCTGTGCACCCTTTTCAAAAGTGGATTATGCATCTATATACACATATGTAGGTACCGGTACATGCATTGTGTGTGTGTGTGTATGTGTGTGTGTGTGTGTGTGTGTGTGTTTGCGTCGAGGAAAAGTTTTGCTTGTGCGTGCTTTGCTAATGAGTCCCGCATTCATATCCATTTAGCACCTGGCTACTGAGAAATGAAATAAGAAATAAATATATATCTATATATAAATAAATATATATTTATATATATAAATATGAGTATTCCCCATCCAATCATATTTCATAATTACTTCAATTAAATACACTGCGGGTAGTACAACATTAAATGAATTTAGATGTGCCCTGATTGCCAGTCGCATGAATCCAACACAAGGTGATAAACATTCTTAAATGTATAAATACCAAATGCATTTCAAATAGGTATTAAAAATTTTGTATTTAGCTTACACAGTATGCACATGTAAATTTGAAAATTGCAGAGAATGGATCCAAAATAAATCAAAGCTAGCCCCAACATAACATTCAACTTAAAATGATGGCTCTTATATTCACATTTACATGATTAGAATAGCGAAAGGTTAAAGATGTGTTTGCTTTTATGTTTTCTCTGTGCAATCGACTGTCTAAAGTACATTCACAGCGGCGAAAAAAATGTGTTCATACGAACAGACGAACATTGCAGAATACGTGAAAAACGTGAAGAAAAATATATTACAAGCATTAACAAGAATAGCCACACACCATTTCTAGACCAATGAAATGTATGTATATTTGTATGTTCGCAATACGAATGTATGTGTTCATATGTGTACGTCTAGTATAGTTTCCTATACTAAATTAAGACAAAAGATAACTTCTTGTTTGCTGAAAACTGAAAATAAAAGTTTTTGCCCTACTATGCGAATCGCAAAAATAAAACATCCCTTCTTAGACTATATCTATATACTTTTTTAAATTCTATTTCTCTTGCTCTATCTATCTTTTTCTGTCTCTCCCCTTTCTCTTTCTATTTGCTGTCATTAATTCTAATACGCTCTCTCCTTTTCTTTTTTTTTAGGGAATATATAAATAATACAATACAAATGCTTTAACACTTGTGGGTAAGTCCATATTTACATATTATATAAAAACATAAGTAACATAAATCTGCGTATGGCATCCAAGATTTCTTTTTTTTTTTAAATATATATGCGACCTTTTCAAGCTCTTTCCCTTCCTTAAAAGGCACTCTCCTGTTTTCTTTTTCGATAAATGCTTATGGCGATTTTTACATAACGAGCTTAACAAATGTTTAGAGTCCTTGCCTGCACTCTTTTTAAAACTTTCTATTATTTGTAGTCTTTTTTTTTGACAACTCGTTCGCCATTCGAGGTTAAAGGCTAGTGTTCGTATTTATTACGTATACGCTCCATAAACCACATGCAATCAACCTACAATGTTTATCGAAATGCGGGCGCGTAATAAAAACGAAGTTCATAAAAGCTTATGGCTGATGGCTCACATAGTCATACAGTCGACCAAACAGTAAATTACAGGAGCATCTAAGACAACAGCAATAACAGCAGCGGATACCTGAATCTGTTGTGCGCAAAAGGATAACTTTACGAGCTCGACATGGACATAAAGCTGGTTAGCTGAAACCAGAAAGCAAGCCAATAAACCAATGTACAATCGATGCCCAATGAAAGAGCACAAATTGACATTGACATGCTCATCCCCCCGCTGTCCCCTATTGCCCACACACTCACCGTGGTGCCGTCATAGCCATTTGTCAGCAGTTGAATGTCGATTTCGAACTCCAGATCCACTTTGGCGGTTGTCAGCTGCAGCGGCAGGTGATCGGTGGCCAATAGCAGCGCACTGTGGTTGCGTCGGCTGCCATTGCCACTGTTGCTGCCGGACAGGAGACTGCTCTGGTCAAGGGTCCTGTTGTTGCTGCTGCCATGAGTTGATGCTGCTGCTGCTGCTGCGGCCAGGGCAGCGATGGCCGTTGCAGCGCTCACGGCATTTGTCATATTGTTGTTGAGGAAGCGGGTGGGGCAATTAGGTGAATTGGATAGGGGATTGGAAAATAATAGATTGAGTGGTTCTTATGCAGTCGCCGCTTGTTGTAATGTGCGCTCGAATTTCAATCTCAGAATCAGCATTAACAATTCGCCAAGCGACTGCGGCTTGGCATTAAAGCTTCGATTATGATTTCTAATAATTCTTCTCCCGTGCGCTTATATATTATTTCTTAATGCAAATCCTGTCGATAAGTATTTGTCGAAATTGTTGCAGAGGGCGATTGGTCTATTCATAAGCTGCATGCTGCCTTGCATTTTGCATATTCCATTTACTGGCTGGCGGAACACATGAGCTCACGTTTGCACTATGTAAATCAACATGTCCTAGGCGTATGTCGAGCTGTGCCCATTCAGCGTCATGCCACATTTCCCAAACGGAAAATGCATATTTTCAACAGTTTTTCCGTGTGGCACAGTCTGCAGAGTCATTTATTTTTAGCCACGACTATAATATGGCCAAAACTTGACCATTCAGTGGCAAATGTATTTATGTGTTGAAAGCCCGTAAATAAAGTGCATGCAGCCTGACGTTAGACGATTGCTTATGGCACGCCTTGTTGCAATCATGCAAATTATCAAATTGTTGCCAATTGCGGATTAGACCGTTATTCGTTCGCGTTTTGTGCCAATTGGGCCTAATAATAACTTAAACGTCTTGAGTAAGTAACTTGTATTCGATTCTTTTGGGCACGCGCACTTGCGCGCGATAACACGGCCAACGATTACAGCGACAATTGATCGACACTCGTTCACGCACACACACACACACACGCACAACGCTCACATACACACACACACACGGAATGGCTGAACTTCTGCGTCGGCTGCTGGAGCTGCTGCCGCGCCGAACTGTGCGATGTGAAGGCTGAACATTGACTGCCCGTTAACAGACACGCACGAGCGACACGTTGAGCCCTGTGGCGGGCAGGCAGACGAATGGCGGGCGGAACGCAGGCGAATGCCGTGCGTTCATTTGCCAGCGCCGCACGGTATGCAACAAATTTGAGACGATTTCATACGCGACTGACGGCGAAGCCTCCGACGATTCAACAGGATGTGCCAATTCGTATCACAGGCGAACCATATGCGCCGCGCACTGCAGAGCGAGCTTTGTCGACCGAAAGAGAAAAGGTAAGCAAACGAGAAACGGAGAGAGCATTTGGGAGATAAAAATAGAGAGGGAATTGAGGGAGAGGAACACAGAGCGGGCAAACACACACGGTCTTATCAGTCAGGCACCTGTTGTGCCATTGTAAAATTGGCGCGTTTTCTTCGCGTTTCGTAGGCGATTTAACTGTGCGCCCGCGTCCGCGCCCGCGCTCTCAATTTAGCCTCATTACTGCCCGGCCCATTGTGACAGCCTGAAGTGCATGTAATGAAACTAAATTGCGTGCACTGACAAATTGCACTGGCACAGCAAATTTTTCAATTTCATTAAGCTAAGCTAGCATTTATTTTGGCACACAATTTGAAAGCTCTCCTCTTCTATCACAAGTTAACTAATCTCTTAAAAGAAACGACGTGACTTATAGCCAGATCTTCTCGCGCAGCCAGATAATATGCCTGGCTAGATCTGTATAGATGACGGGTTGCGTTAGATCACAGCGGTTGGTATACACCTGGCCGGCCGATACGACTCCGCGCAGCAGCCAGATATTGTTCTCCTGGAGCATGAGGCCACCGCCGGAGTCACCGCTGCAGGGGCCGGCGGCCTGTTTGTTGCCCGCACAAATTGTGTTCGGCGTGACGAGTCTGACGCCTTCGGTCGACCTCAGGTTGCGCAAACACTCCGACTCAGTAACAATATCCGTATCTGTCATCTTGGCTACACGGGTGTTCACATTTCCATTCTCATCGGAGCCCCAGCCAGCCACATAGGACTTATAGCCCGAAGGCAACTGCAGCTGAAAGTTTTCGCTCCACAGGCATATGGGCTTGATAAATTCACCAAAGCTGCAAGAAATAATGCATTTTTCACTTTGAAGAAAGTTTTCGCATTCTCAGAGCGTGGAAGCGCCTACCTCACTGGAGTTGCCAGCTTGAGCAACGCTATGTCCGCATCCGTGTAGTTTTGTGGCGCGTATTCTTCATGTAGGACCAGCACAGATACCTCCCGCAGCAGGCCATCTGACACCAGATCCAGTGTGTTGCGACCCAGAGAGACGACAGCTCGGTTGGCGGGCAGATTTCGGTCAGTGTAAAGGAAGCAGTGCGCCGCCGACAGCACCGTTGAGGCGGAGATGAGCGTGCCGCCACAGAAAAAGCGCAGACCATCTCCGCCACGCTCGTACAGTGCCACCATCCAAGGCAACTGTCCGCGGCGCACCTGCGTGCCATGATGGATAAGCGGCGATGTGATGGGCCCTTCGCGCCCACAAATTCCACCGAGCTGCCTCAGTCCCTGGCCACCTGTGTTGGGTACTACTGATGGTCTAGGCTGTGCTGTGGGAGGTTGAGTTGGAGGACGCGATGACGCTGGTGGTTGTGGTGGTGGTGGTGCTGGTGTTGTTGGAACCGGGGCAGTTGGCTGTGGGATTCGGAATGTGGGTCGCTCCTCCGGCTCGGGCTCTACAAAAGTGTTTTGCCAAAATGGGCGCTGCGGCCGCTGCACCGGTCGGGGATTTGTTTGCTGTACAAATTGAGGCTGCTGAGTAAATAACGGCGTCGTCGTTGAGTGCAGCGAATGAGACAAGGAGAGCGTAACACTGCTGGGAGGATCTGCAAAAGACATTGAATTCTTAGTGGACACCATTAGACACAAATTACTGAGAACCGCTTACATGGCGATGCTCTGCATAAGACGACATCGTTGATCATCACCAGCGTCAGCTTGGGCAATTCTTCAGGTGTGGGAAAATCAATGCGATATCTTATAGGGTTACCATTGCGCAGATTAAACTTGGTTACCTGGTCGTCGTCCCACAGTGTGAGGCTGCCAAAGTAATTCTGAACAACGAGAAGAGTTGTTATTTTTATTATTAAAATAAAAACAAAAAACTCCTTTTATACTTGTTAACAACGTGAAAAGAGCATATTAGTTTTGTGCAATGTCCGTCCGCTTGCCCGTCCGTCAGTATAATCGCATTTTTGAGAGCTATTGAAGCTAGAAGCATATATACACGCGTATTCTGTCGTCTGTAGATACGAATCGTGGTATCCAAGAAATTTTATGTTAACCATTATAGACTGTACCCATTTCAGATGGGAAATGTATGTTGATTTTATGCAAGTGATATATATAACAATATAAGAGACAAACGGAAGCATGTCTGACACCATAAGTATATATATATACTTGATCAACATGAACCCATCGATCTCGAAAGCTACAATAGCAATAGAAAAATTGAAAATCTCCCAATAACAGTCGTAAAACGAGTTTTTCATTTCTTGTCGATATCCTTACACTTATCCCAAATATCGGTAACAATCAATGTTGGGCATAGCTCAATAACTATAAGAGCTAAATCCACCACATTTATTTTGTAGGCTCTCAATTTAACCTCACTGCGCTGACAATGAGTAGCGCTCAGTCGGTAGCATCCGACTGCATCATTCTTAATTCTGCAGCATCATATTATAAAATATTTTTTTAATTAGTCATCACGCCTTGGGCGACCTGAGGAACTCTTGTAATTCCCTGACAGCTCATTTGGGTAATGCTTTTTAAATATTATACAACTTTATTGAATGGTTTACAAAAAAGAACTTGAAATATGTCAAGCTAAGCTATATATATATATATGAGTTTGGTAAAACCAGCACTTTTGTGGTTTTGTTACTAAAACAAACACACATAAGATTTATAGCGGCAGTGTAAAATTAATTATTCAAACAGGTGAAAAGAAACCGGTCGCACAACTTCAGATACTAAACCCCCAACGCGGAGAGCTGCGTAGTATTATTATTATTTAATCTACAATAGTATATAAACAACGAATGAGCTTAACAATGATAGGAAAACCTTTGTATATTCCAATATTGACACACAAAACAATAACAGTATAAATAATATATAATGCCTATAAGTTAAACCCATGTGTGAGTCTAAATGATGCTCACATTGCTTGAAGTGCAGAGAAAAAATCTCTTAATTTATATTTTAAAATTTTATATTGAAACTGTTTGAATTAGTTTTCAAAAGCTTATCATCTACTAAATTATGCTTTTGCATTTTCAAAGCCAATTGCCATTGCTGCGGGAAAAGCACAAATCTAATCTTCTTTGGGGGTCAGTGAGTGATAAGAGTATACAACAAATAAACTAAGGAAAATCCAAATACAAACATCAAAATCATATTTTTACACACCGAGTTTAAGCGGCTACGCTGCGAAAACTGAACACTGAGCGTATTCTCCTGGTACTCTGGATCATGCCGTACTGAGATACGGCCCACGTACTCCTGATTGAACGACAGGTACTCAAAGTATTGTGGGCAGGCCACGGGCGGCACTCGTTGAGCTGCACTGGGCCAAGCTAAGAACAGCAGTGTTACAAAAATGCCGGGCACCACTAATAGCTGTTCCATGTTCTAAACACACAAAGTTATCGTTTTTGTACACTGACTTGGACGAACACGCGAAAACAATTAACTGAGCGCACTCACGGTCCGGACCTCATTGAGAGAGCGCCAATCGGTGACTGTTATGTGTGGGATTCCGGCCAGATAGTCTGATCGGCGATCGACGAGAATCGATGATCTGGGTAAAAACCAGATGACTACTCTCTCTCTCTCTCTCTGTCTCTGGTTCTTTCTCTCTCTTTATCAGCCAAGCAATTGTTATGCGCGCCAGACAGCTTCTCTCGATTTGTTTAGATTGACATCTATGTAAACACTAATATATTTATTAAGTTTCTCTTTATCATTTATTTTTTAATTTCTCTTTTGGTCGAGATTAGCAATGAGCGATGTTTCGTATTGTAAATTAGCTAGAGCTTGGACCGAAACTATTATTGATCGTATGCCATGAGAATAATTAACATATAAATTACCCGCCGATGACGTACATTAGTACGTGAATCTTCCGTATGCTTATCAAACGTATGTGCATATTTAAATTTGATTTATTTATGAACTATCTACAGGAAGAATTTTACTTAAAGCTATGTAATTAACTAGAGCCTAACGTTCTTCTGGCACTGTTTTGGAGTTAGCTATTCCCACATGTTCTGACGCACCCAGGCAATGTGCTTGGCCACATCGGTGTAAAGGGAAGGACGGGAGAGATCACAGGTATTATTCTTATGCGTGCCAAGCGAGATGACCCCACGCAACAGCCAGACATTGTTCTCCCTAAGCATCAAGCCGCCGCCTCCATCGCTGGCGCATGGACCGGCGCCATTTCGCTTGGCACAGATCGTGTTCGGCTGAACCAGGGAACGTACCATCTCGCGTAGACAGTCGGATTCTGTGACAATGTTTGTGTCTGTGATTTTAGAGAATTTCGTGTTGACATTGCCATTCTCATCGGCGCCCCAACCGGCCACGTAGGTCTTATAGCCTGACGGCAGCTGCAGCGGAAAGTTCTCGTTCCAAAGGCAAATGGGAACAATGAAATCATTGAAGCTGTCAAGCAAATAATATAAAATAAAACAACAACCGTAGTCCGCACCTTATTGTCTACTTACGTGATTTGCTTGGCTAGCCTGATGAGCACCATATCTGCATTTGCTCTAAACGGGATGTATTCCTCGTGGTAAAGCAGCTGCGTTACTTCGCGCAACTCGCCATCCGAAACGATATCGATGGTGTTGCGTCCCAGGGAAACGATTGTTCGGCTGGCCGGCAGATCGCGGCCTGGAAATCGGAAGCAGTGTGCCGCCGATAACACTGTCCAGGACGAGATAAGCGAGCCGCCACAGAAGAAGATCAGGGCATTGTCCGTACCACGCTCAAGGAGACCAACAAGCCAGGGCAGCTGGCCGCGCTGCAGCTGCTCCCCTTGGAAGATCAACGGCGTCGTCACGGCTCTTTCGCGACCACAAACAGTACTTAGCGACTGGTCAACCAGCTCAGGCCTTGGCTCCACTCTACTGCTGAAGTTAGCTTGCGGTCGTACCACAGGGGTTGGTCTGGGAGTTGCCAACTCCGGCACTTGAGTCTCCTCAATATTATAAACAGTCTGCTCTTGGGGCTGAACGGACGGTCCGAATTGCCACTGTTGGTTAGCACCCGGCGTAACACGCCGTGTGTCCAAGAAGGCAAGCGGCACCGTTGTGGAACGCAATGAATGCATGAGTGTGATTGCTGTTTTCGGTCGCGGATCTGCGTGAGAATTTAAATGCTTTTATTGCCTGGCGATGTACAAACCACTGCGGGTTTTACTTACACCCTGATGCACTGCAGAGCACCACATTGTTGAGCCTGATTTGTGTTAATTTGGGCGGCAAGCTGGGTATGGGAAAGTCAACGCGATAGTTAATGGGTTCGCCATCGCGTAAACGCGATTTTGTTGTGTCCTGATCGTCCAGCAGTGCTATATTGCCAGCAAAATCCTAAGTGAACGAAAAAAATACCGTGGGCGTAACATTATTTAAGCATAAATAAAATAAGGCAAATTACAATTGCTTGCAATAGAGTAAGTAGCTGAAATCCTCGAGCATTCCAAACTTATCTGCTACTAAACTATCATTATTGAATGTAAAAATGGCTATCCCTCGAATTGAAAGGGTAAACTTGCTTCGATTTAAAAATTTTATTGAATTTTAAAGATGCCGGGAACCCACACTTGAGTTGGCAAAACCAAAAAAAAAACTTTATTGAAACTGGTCGAGTTGTTTGTGTACACGGCTGGCCATACAATCAATACATGCATAATTATTACCATGTCGTCGAGACAAACCACACAAAAAGTACCAGAAGCAAACTGGCGAACCTCTTCAGCTTGTGGAGCTTGCTCTTAGTGGCTATTTATAACTGTTCTCTAAGGTTCTCCTAAAGGTCCCACTCGCTCTCATATTGACATAATCAATTATGCATCTCATTTATTTACTTCTCTTTGCTTGCAACGATTTGCTTTTATACTCTGTTCTCTACGGTGGTCAGAATATATTCGGTTAACGGAATGCCCATTTTCAATGAGGATAACCCAATCGATTTGACGAAACATGTTTCACCACGCAAAACAAAAACAACAAACGATTGTTTTTTATTTTTGCACTCACAGAGCATTGTGTAGTCAGCTATCGACATAGAGATTCGCACATTTTTTGCCATTTGCGTTTGCAAATGCAATATTGTTAAGGCGGCGGGAAAAACACACAGAGTAAATAGATTTGTTGGGGTCAATGTGTGATAAGAGCAGAAAGATGAGCACAGCTGGGAAAAAACTACAAATAAACTTCCGCTGATTCAGAAATGTGTATGCAAACGGTCTCCGTAATTTGTTTCAACCGTAGTTATGTACATACCCATTGATAAGCGCCGCGCTGTGAGAACTCCACAAAAAGCTCGTTAATTTCATATTGAGGGTCATGTCGTATCGAAATGTGGCCTATAAACTGCTGATTGAATGACAAATACTCGAAGTACTGCGGACAGGCGACATCCGGCAAATTCTGAGCAGAATTTGGCGATATTAACCCAAGAAGAGGTAAGAAGATGCTGGACAATAGCAACAGCATTTTCATATTATCTACCGCGTCTTTCTGTACTGCTCGAAACCAAAACAAAAAGTATTCGCAAACTTTTCTCGCCACTTAAACGAAACCGACTGTCAAAGCAGAGCCGCAACCGAACCTCACGCTCTGGACTTCGACGAACGAATGATTTGTATTTACTTCTACTCATTAAATATCAATCACAGTCTCTATGGCTGTCCCATCAGCGAGTATCGATGTGGTACACTCTGAGTTCTCGGGTGAAACCGGATAGCTTAAATAGCGAACACCAGCTCTTTAAGAATAATACTCTTTTTAGTTAGTTCTCCCAATTGGCTGAAGACGTTTGCATTTATATATTGGTCCAAACGTATTTCAAACAATATTCTAAAATTATACTTATATCAATACTTTTTTTTAGATTATTCAAATTTATTATTTTTACTATTTTTATTTTTATTTTAATTTCATTATTTTAATTATTTTGTATAGAATAAATGGAAAATATAATTGTCGGTTCATGGCTCTGACCTCGCCCTTAGGTTCGATTCGTGATGTTATTTGTTTTTTAATCCTGTGAACGTTTTTTTATCAGCATAAGTAAAAATGACATATTCGGAATACCTTACATTTTTTTATTTCAAACTTAACTTTGTAATAAGCATCAAAAGATTACTATTATCATTATTATTATTATTATTATTATTATTATTATTATTATTATTATTATTATTATTATTATTATTATTTTATATTATTACTATTATTATTGTTATTATTAGTATTATTATTCTTACTATTATTATTATTATTATTGTTATTATTATTATTACTATTATTATTATTTTTATTATTATTATTATTACCTATATTATTAATATAAGTATTGATATTATTATTATATTTACTCTTATTATTATTTTATTTATAGACTTAAGTTTCGAGACATCAATTTCACTGACATAAGACACTTTTTATTTTTCTCAATATCTATGAAAATCTTCGATTTTTTTATGACATTTTTAATAAAAGGTAGTGCATACTTGTATTGTTATTTATTATTATTAATAATTGCAAAAGATAAGAGCATAGAAGAGTCGTTGTGTCGTTTTAAATTTTCTGCAAATACCTTTTCCTACGTACGGCTTAACATTTAACATAATACGTAATTTACACTCAATATAAAAAATGTTGTATTGCATTTGTTTATTGTTGTTGTTGGGAACCTTCCTCCAGCACGTGTTTTTACCTGATTCTAGCGTGAATTTTGTATGGCATAGCCTCTTTCAATATTTAATGATATATCTAAAACAATTTGGTAGACTCTAGTTTATGTTCTGGCTAATCCAGGTCATATGCTTGGCAAGATCGCAGTACAGCACATACACGGTATGATTGCAGTACTCAGTTGGGCTCCGCTTGCCCTGAGACACAACAGCCCGGAGCAGCCAGCGGTTGTTGTATTTTACCATCAAACCTCCACCGGAATCACCAAGACATGGCCCAGAACCATCTAGGTTGCTGGCACACAGCGTGCGGACGAGAACCCTCTGACCATTCCAGCTATTTGCACAATCCGCCTCGCTGGCAATCTTCGCCTCGACAACATGCGGATAACGTGTCACATCGTTGCCTTTCTCATCCGTTCCCCAGCCGGCAATGGAGCCGACTTCGGCTGCAATTTCGTTCCCAGCTGCTTCCCACAGACAAATTGGACTGATTATGTCATTGAAGCTGAAAAAAAAAAGATAAAAGGATTAAGTGCCAGGGTTTGGAATACAATTACTTGTTGATTGCACCCACATGACTGGAGTTTCTAATGTGAGCAGCGCAATATCCGAATCCGGCTGTAGCTGCACGCGCAAGGAGAATTCCGGATGCACCTTGATGCGTGATACGTCGCGCGCCTCAGCACCTTCTTCCTTGTCATCACGCAAATCATAACGACCCACCCCCACCCTAACGCGATCCTCCTTTACATTGTAGACACAGTGGGCGGCCGTGATAACTATACTGGTCGAGACCAGCGAGCCACCGCACTTAAAGTCAAACGAAAATGACTGCTTGTAATATACAGCTGTCAGCCAAGGGAACCTGCCACGCGGATATCCTTCACCTCGTTGTATGAAGGGTACTAACGTGTCGTCTTGGCCACACTCGAATGTTGACTTGGGAGCACTTGGTGAGGGCAAGGCTTTAGGATTCAACCAATTGGCAGTTGGAATTAATGGCGGCGCAGGCGTTGCTAAGGGCCAAGGTGCGGGGGCTGCGATAGGTACGGTTGGTGTTGTCGGTGGGGGCCAGCTTTGTCGGAAAACAGCGCTTGTAGTGCTCCCTACTGTTGCCGTCGGCCAAGGTGACCAAGCAGCAGCAGTGGTAGAGCGCTGTTCATTGACAAAATCGGACAGAATATGAGCTATTGCTTCCTCCGATCCATCAAAGATAACTGTTTTGATCTCCACATCGGTCTGTCCCCGCGAAAACGTTTGCCCCACTGGTGTGGGAACGAGCCAACGCGGTGATGGCAGAGTGTTAATGTGGAACTCGTAAAAGCGATTGAAGAAACTGGTGGGCGGATCATCTAAAAATCAAATGCCAATATCAGCGTATTTTCTAACCGAAACTGTTTAAGAATTATTACTTACATTCGCTGGCTGTGCAAAGCGTAAAATCATTGAATGCCAACCTCGTCAGCTTGGGCAGCACACCCGACGCATCCGGCCAGAGGCTGAGCCGGAACTTAGCAGCAACCAAACTGGCGCGCACTGTTGCCTCATCGGGATATGGCTGCAGGGCACCAAATACAGTTACCTGCCGATTATTGGGGGGTGGTAGCGCAATCAGATCAGTGATCAGTATTTGAATTGTAACAAGACAATCAGTTAGAGCTTATCGAGTACATACATCTACAATGCCGCGCATCGAGAACCGCACATCGATGCGATTGCGACCATTTTGCAAGGCAAGCGTCACCTCGCCCTGATAGCTGCCAATGCCATTTTGGACATACTGGAAGTACTGTGCACACGAGTTCTCCGGCAGACGCTGAGCCACGGATGCCATTAACACCATGGCCACAAGCAGCAGCGGCAGTTGCGTGCTCATCGCCAGCTATAGTATAGAAGAAAAAACAACGAAAACTGAGCTAAAAACAAAAGGTACGAAAGTCTAATTGAAATCTTGTCTGTTTAATGCACACGCGACGAGCGTCAATGGGCGAATATAACTGCAATCGACTGCGCTCAGTCCCGGTGAGCGTCGACGGCATTGCAAAGCTAGTATGCTAAGCAAACTGGAAATTCCGCATCGTGCTGAGGCTAATGAAGCGAGTAGAACACAACTAAGATCTTCAATAGTGAATCTTGAGTCTAGCGTATTGAGTGTAAACAACACATAAGCGTGGCCATTAGATTAGATACACGGACAGCGTCTTGATTATTTTTTTTTTAATTTTATTTATCATCTCACAATATTACGCTCCACCCAGCTGAGATGACTGGCAACGTCAGAGTAGATGACGAAACGCGACAAGTTGCAGCCATGTCCCGCGCGTTGAGCCAGGGAGACGATGCCTCGCACGTACCAGCGATCATTGTGCAGCACCATCAATCCACCTCCGGAGTCGCCCAGGCAGGGCCCATGCCCCTGGCTGTTACCCGCGCAGAGTGTACGAGGCGTCAGAAAGTCCCTGGCAGTCAGCAAATCAAACAGACACTTCTCCCTGGACACCAGGCTTACATTAACGGCTACAGGGAAGCGCGTTGGCTTAAAATTGGCATCATTGCCCCAGCCGGCGACAGTAGTCTCATTTTCGTCGAGCGAGATGCCTTTGCTCCACAGGCAAATGGGCCGCACGTAATAAGAGAATTGCACCTTCTCGGCGAGCACGAGTAGACCTACATCACAGTCAGGCACCACATTGCCTACAAAGTCGGGATGCGTGCGCATGCTCTCCACAGTCATCAGAGTAGCATCCTTTTCAGGATGCAAGCTTGTGTCATGACGTCCCACATAGACTCTCAGCTGGGCCGGCGTATAGCCGTAGATGCAATGGGCCGCCGTTATGACCGTGCGGGCAGAGATTAGTGAAGTCACGCATTTGTAGATTAGCTCAATCTTATTGGGGTCGCTATTGGTGTCGAGATAGAGCGCAGCCAGCCACGGAAAACGCCCTCTGGGCACGATTTCACCTCCATTCTGTAAGGCAACATAACCCTCCAAGCCGCACTCCTCTTCTGCCGGGTCACGACGCGCATCCACAGTGACAACAGGTTCTGTTCTGTTGTTCTTCAGCGGCTTCAAAAACGGATTGGCATCCCAGCGACCACCATTTGACCCAACCGATGTAGCCAATCTTGCTGTAGTCGTTGTCGTCCACGGATTAGGAGTTATGGGTGCATTAACTAATCCTGTGCTCCTGTGCTCATGCGTAGTCTGTGACGTAAGAGCCATGTGCAGCTCGCGCGTCATCGATGAATAGGGTGCTGCGTCTGATAAACATAAGAGATTGAGACTTAGTTGTAATTTTAGCAGGTAAAATAGCTCTGATCAAGACTAACTGACGAGCAAATTCCGTGGGCCGGAATTGCCGATGCATTTGAAGTCGTGCAAGCAAAAATAAATATTGATGATTTAAGCTAATTTAATTTCAAATTGCATTATCACAGACGTGAAAAGGGGCTGCTGATCAAGTTTATATATAATTTCTAAGCCAATACTAGTTATTGTGACAACAAGTCTAGGTCCAATCAAACGAGAGTCGAACTGAAAAAATGTAGCTAGTACGATACAAAAATGGAGTCGCTAGCAAAATCAACTTGGAAATACCGTGTTCCCTACATGGTTCGATCAAGTCAAATAGGGGAGCATTATGTACAGTTTATCATCCTGATTTAAAGAATTTATAATTCTAGAAGTCGGAATTGTTTCCTGCTGAATGTATCACCTTTGTATATAATGGACACATGCAAAAGAAAATTAGCATGAGCAGCTGAACCTCTACTGTCTACGTCTAATCATATAATCAAAACAATATATTATATACCGAATAATCTGCTTTGATGTCATTCGACAAAATAATTGCATCGCCAATCATACACAATCGATTACTCACATCCACTGCCAGTGCACAACACTTGCCCATTCAGCTCGACGTATTCTACCTTGGGCACCAGCTGAACGTAGCCATCGAAGCGCACAAAGCATTCGGCTCGTCCGCCGTTGTGCATTGTTTGGAGAGCGGTTTGCTTATCCGGATAAGGATCCAGTGAACTCACTGTTCCATTCTGTAAGCGCAGAGAAAGTCAGGTCGGGGTCAGTTTGAATGAGAATCTCTGGATCTCCCTACACACGTACCTGGTCTATGCCATGAGACGCAAAACGCACCAGCCATTTGACGCTTTTCAGTCCATCCTCTGGGGGCGTGAGAATCCCTATCCAATGATCGCTTTGCTGCTGATATCTGAAGATACTGGAACACCCGTAGGGTGATCGGCGCTGGGTCAACGCAATGCGTAAACTGAGGCTGAACAGTAACAGCGTCAGCTGCAGCTTAAACATCTGAGTTGCAATGATTGCCATCGAATGTCGCATAAGAACTGCTGCTGATAGCAGCTGAGCGAGAACTGAGCTGCTAGATTCCATCTGAAGTTGATAACCTTACATGCCCGCTCAAAGCTAGGCATCATTTAGCTCTCTGCTTGCTGTGAAATAGCCGAACCTAAGCGCGACTGGCGGCGCTTATACTTTAACTGGCCTGCGGGCTTTACCCGTCAGCCCCTCGACGGTGTGAACCTGTATCAGAACAGATAGATAATATTGACGTCTTTTCTAGTAGGGTATACTTTCAAAGTAATAAGCCTATGACGGCGCTTTGTTTACGTTTCAATTCAGGTATAAATATAAAAACCTTTCTCATCTCTATCTTGCCGTAAAACTCGTTTAATTAATTCTTAACTCTCTCGCTTTTTCTATATCTCTTTCTCGCTCTTTGCGTACAATCAATTCGCTCTTAGTTGCAGCATAGTTGCACTTGAGAAGAACGTGTTTAGCGGCAGATGCAATCATGCTATGTAATCGTGCGAATAAAGATATTTATATACCCCGCCATGAATTTCCCGTTTTTCATCAATTCCCACCTTAGACGGAAATTCGTTGCTTTTATCCCTAAACTTTGTCATTGAAAAAACTTTGCTTTGGCACCGCAATTTTCGCTTATTAGATGAAAAGTTAAAGATCCTGTCACACGATAAGGCAACTTTTAATATTGTAACGCAATGTTTGCATGCAAATATAATATTGAAAATAATGGTACACGAGTGTGTCAGTATGTACTTGTTTAAGTAGCAAAGCGTTGGCAAAACTTTTGAACAACAATAAACGCACCCAATCTCGATGTTTAGCTGAAGGAACAAAATTCCTCCACCTTTGGGTGGGTGGCTTTGTTGTTCAGGCTTAGAGGGCTTCTTTTTTCACAGCAACTTTTATAATCAGCTCAAGTTTGTTAAGCTTTTGTGGTAATTTGTGGGGATTTCGCGTAAATTTCATTCGTTTTGCCAAATAAATGAAATGAAATATACAACTTGTTGGCCCGCAACTTGCTTCCAAGTTATGGGGCTAATGGCCGACAAAGTTGGCGCTGCTGGCACTCGTGACAGCTCCAGTCCCAGCCACAGCCCGCATTCTCGTACGGCACATATCCGACCAATTTGACTGCTCCTCAAGGTGAATTGCTTCCGCTATGAACAGCCACCCAGTCAATGGCAGCTGCCTATTACCAGCTGCAGGAAGTGCATGCGCGTTGTAAATTGTGCGCACTTGAAGGACTTTGATTGCCATTGAGGCGTTATGGGAAACGTTAATTGGAGCATTAGGCAGCCACTACATAAGCACTTATTATTATACATAAGTCCATACCAATAAGCAAACAAGTTGCTGATGCCCAGCAACTTATTATGGTCAGACCTTCAAGACTATTTCGCTGCATTTGACACCCAGTTTTGTATTTAAGCCAAAGCGTAGGTCTTGCCTTTTAAAATGAGTTTATTTAATTTTCGAAGGAATAGGGCCATATATTCTAAACATTTTTATTAAACTATGTATTCTATACGAGAACCGGCAAAACATGTTTGAAATTTCTAGCTCTTATAATCTATGAATTATAAGTAGTATGCGAAAAAACCATGTCTCAAACCGATATTTATCAGTATCGAAATGAGTGTCTTCCCTGAATCGATGCGTTCATATTAATAGGCAGCAGATCTCGGCCTGAACACTTAAGACGGTGGGACATGCTCCCTTTTGCCTGTTACTGCAATATAAAATATATAAGTTATAATAGAAGCAAATATTCATCAGTTAAAATATAATATAATCAATACATTCATTTAAAATAGTTGATACATATTCGTAGTAAGTGCAAAGTATAAATGACAATTTAAAGTTATCAACATATGAATTATGAGATGCATTCATCATTTCCGAGCAGTTAATTTATCCATTTCACTTTAAAATTTTCTTCAAAATGAAATACGTGGATGGTTATGCAGACAGGATTTGTTAAATTAACCCGCTTCGCCAACTCATACTGACAAGGATATCAAATTTTTTCGTTATGATGTTTTTTCTTCAACAGAATTTTGGCAATCGATTAACTTAACCTGCGTTGATAAGACAAGTTAGCAACTCTAAATATGTTTGTAGCAATCATACCTTTTCGTATACTCGTACAGATTTTAAAACGTTTTTCTGGGAAAGAACACACTGTGCAACACTTATAACATGAATCTGAAAACTGATAAAATTGTAAATTTTTGCATTGCATATCCAAAAGTTAAATGCGCCGCAAAATTTTGTAGGTATCACAAGTGCAAAGACTACGATAGCGTGAGAAGACAAAAACAAATGCATCGGCACAGTTGGGGAAAAGCTCCAGCCTCTTGGCCTCCTTGAGACCCGCACGGATAGAGCACTCCAGCTCCTCGTGCCAAGAGTTCTGGGCATCCTCCTCTACCAGCAGCGTGTGAAAGACCTTGAGCAACTGCAAGTGCCGCTCGACACGCGGACAGCGAACAAGACAAAGCATTTGGGCATAAGGCCGGAACTTGATCCAGCGCTGAAAGTCATCTACACAGACGTCCGTGCTCGCATCAATAAGAATCAGCTTGCAGTTATATTGATAAATGCCTTCCAGGATCTCGTGCTCCATGGGGCACTGGAAGCCAGCGCGCAGCTCACGTGTGAGAACAAAGGTGACTTCATGGATGGGCGTTTGCATGGCCCTCGGATACTTGCGATTGGCAAAGCAATAGGCCAAGTGCTGTCGACGGTGCTGCTGCTTTTGTAGAAACTCGACTTCCTTGTCCACACGCCTGATGGCCCGCGAACCAGTTGGTTCATAGTCGGCAGCAACAGCACTCTGACGCTCAACGGCTTCATCAACCGCCTTTTCGGCCATCTGCTCGGACTCCTCCTGCTGCTTGGCGGCCTCACAGCAGCGCAGATCATGCGGCTTCTCGTAGTCCGGGAAGCCCACATTAGCCAGCAGGGTATGCCAACGCAGCTGATCAAATGGCTTACGTGGCACAAAGAAATCAACAGATTCGCTTTCCACACGACACTTATTATCGTCCAGTATCAGCGGCCACAGTGTCTCGAAGAAGGAGCTATCCAGCGATGGTCCGTTCTCACGCTGATTACTGTCTGCGTCTGTGTCCATGTTGCGGCTTATTCGAAAAAATTTGGAATTTCTATTATTGTTATTTAGTGCTTCGAAGAATGTACTCCTAAGTAGTGTCTGTCTGACAAGCATTGCCATGGTGCCTAGTCTAGCATACTATTTTATAGTAAGTATGCACACTTGTTGTGTTGCCGTTCAACGAGGCGTATGCGCAACAATTTCATTTTATTATCAGCGCATAAATCAGCTGCTGACTCGCATTCTCTGCACATTTGTTTATATTTGTCTCAAATTTATGGACGCTCACACCAATAACAGCACTAACAACAACAACAACGATTTGCGTAAATTTTATGCCATCTAAGTCGTAGAACCCGCCGATCGTCGACATTTTATGAGCTTGCCCGAGCCTGGACTGTCCCCGATTTTATGAAGCAATGTAAGCTCCGCAATATGCCAAAGATTTTCATGATGTGATGAAGGCAGCGTTGGGCGTGGCTGCTCTAACAACAGCCACGAATTTGTGTTTGTTTTTTCGGGCTCATTAGCTTTTATGCCTCGGATTTTATTGCGCATATGTACAACAATGTTTGGGGCATGCCGCTGGATGCGACATATCAAACATGCTATTTACATTTAAAAAAGCAGTCGGATGCCAAACTACAATAGTAGCTATTCAGATGATTTCGTTGCAACACTTAAGTAAATAAATGAAACACAAAAATCAAATTAATTATCCAAACGAAATTTATATATACTTACAGGAGAACAAAGTTTGCTAACCCAATCTGAAAGCTACTTATTCACATACCAGATTCTATATTAATTTTTTTATTTTAATTTTAATTCATTTTAAAACCAGTTTCTTACCGTACTAGAGAGATGTCAAATTAAAATTTTCCTAAATATGTTTTAATAGTTTGCTGGTCTTACTGAAACATGTATATACTCTCCCCATATGCTCTAATTTTTAAAACTCCACCGCAAAGCTGTCGCCGTTAATTGTCCTGTTTTTGGGCGTGCTATGTTGTGATATGCATGCTTATATCCTTCGCAAGGATATAACAACATGTGTTGCATACCACAAGGCGTCAGGTCTGGCAAACATTGCGTATACGCCACATGTGTGCAATTCATTTTCATAAATCAATTGTGCGTGCTACTTTTAACGCGCCTGACTGACTAACTGACACTCCCCATGTCCGCCCACCTGCTGCCCAACAAATCGAACTCAAAATCCAAATCCAAACGCCCCTTATTTGTTTTTAACTTTTTTTTGTAGGTCTTTTTAGACCTAAATTTATGTGCACACAATTATTTCAAGTTGGCCGCCGCAGCCAAATGTAAAGAATAAACTTTAGTGACGAATGCTTATTTTACGCTTCACTTTTCGACAACTTATCGCAAATGTGATTTTCGTTGCCAAATTCTGTTATTCATTCGTTTTTACTTTTCGGCGTCACGGTGCTAAAATTTGATTTGTGCCCTGAAGCAGAAGCTGCCGTTTTAATTTAATTCTGCGTGAATTCTTATTGCCTTTTACATGTGCGATGGAAGATTTATGGCAGACCGTTTACCAACGCCGGCTGCGCTCGAAGGTTATGAAGAGGCAGAGAACCAGAGATGAAAACGTATGGGAGAAATCGAAATGTTTTTTTAATATATAAGCCGAATTTCAATATAGGAAAAAAAAACTCGTTTACGAACTTCCACTTATTAAGGCCCACACATGGACTGACCGAACTTAAAGTGCCGGCAAAAGTTTCCCCATTTAAGCTGAATAGCATCCCCTTGCCAAATTGCTTTTACCAACATTTCTGAGCGCTATTAAAATGCGACAGGAATTTCGCGACATTCGCCTCCAGGCGGAACGCCAGCTAAAGCGTATAAAAATTTATTTGTATATTTATTGTCTGTTATTGGGGCACTCAAAATTCAAACTGTAAGAGAATACTGAGCAGCAAAAATGAAAATAAATATATAAAGAAAAATACTGAAGCAAAAATAAAAATAAAAATAAAAAAACAGACACGAAAACAAGCACAACAAAATGGAAAGACGAGTAGTTAAGTTCCATATTGACATAAAAGCCAATCATTTTAAAATAGCTTAAAGCCAAGTCTACGACCAGCAAGAAAAACATCAAAAGGTTGTTGCTGGAGCGGAAAAAAACAAGAACACGTCCAATTTAAGACCACTGTGAAAAGTCGTGTAGCCAACCAAGAGGATGGCAGTGTGTCGGAAAAATGTATGCAGTTTTGGCTTTGAGTGCCAAAAACCACTGCAACTCTGACACCACTGACACCACTGGCAAGCTTTTTGGCTGTAGTCAGCCACAGCACAACGCGCTTTGATCCACTACAAGTCCTTGGGGGTTTGTCGCTTTGCCAGCAAAGTTTTATTGCATATCAAATCAAAGGACAATTTTTGCAAGTTTAATTCACAACTTCATTGGCAATGCACAGAATACTTGTGCGAGTAACAAGTGACCGAACTTATTGCCTCCCTAACGTAGGGGATGTTGAAAATCAATCAAATTATCGATGAAGCGTAAGTCTTGATGATTGATGAGCGCGTCGTCGAACATCAATCATCGATGGACTCAAGTGCAATGCTCTGTGGTGAGTTGATAAATCAAAATCAATGCGCTAGTCAAGTGAGCATCTGCGTCACATGTTGCAGCTGCAAATACTGTCATCCATATCATTTTTTTGTATATATAAAAAAAAAAAGACCTGTCGCCTTTTATTGAATTTTATAAACAATACACAATTCATTTTTTTTAGCATACAAATATTTGCACGGCAGTCAACGCAGCTGCTGCATAATATAATCAAATACCAATAAGATAAATGAATAAATATATTTTTTAAATATAATACGAGACACTCAATGATAGACCAATTTTTTCCTTATTATAAAGATAAGTATATATGCTTACGGGTACCATAAAAACGTTATTAGTAGAAAACAGATTTTATTCCCATCAAATGCGAAACCAAAGAAAGTATGTCATGCAGAGCTTACAAGCATTTTAGCTATTCACAAACTTATTGGTTTTCATAAACATTTAAAATTCCATTTGTATACGTCAGAGAGATTAGAGTATTCGCTTTCAGTGAGATTTAAAGCAGAAAAAATGTAAAAATTGTGTGCCATTTATGTGATTGCGTATTTGTTGCTAGCATTTGAATGTATAATCCAATTGTTTACCCAGGATAACCAATCTAAAAACCAAAACAATCTATATATATTTTGTATAAATATAAAGTTTCTCGGGCATTTCTCTGCTTTTTCTGCTCGTATGTAAATACTCAAAATGACTGCTAGGTTAAATGGCTGGCAAATTCGTGCAATATTCAGAGGTAAATATTTGACTTCTGTTTGCTGGCGCATAAGAATAGCTCTCAGCTTTTGCGGCATGAAATGCATTCAACTCAAGCGCCGGCAATATATGAAAAGGCCTTGTTCAAATTGTGAAGCAGATAGCCAGCTTTGAGAGCTGCATAGCTGGACAGTCACAAGTTCAAGGCAACGAGCGGCAAGCGGACTTAACAAATGGGGCAGCACTTAGTCAATTAGAAACAACAACAACAACAACAAATATGGCAAAACGTTTTAAAGACAACCAAATTTATATTTTATTTTATTTTAGTCTTTAAATGCACTTGTATTCTAGCCCTAAGCCTAATCCCGCTTTTGCCAATTAATGCACAGCGCATTGCGCATCAACAAAACGTTCGAGTTGAGAGTTTAGCATACACCGAGTGCAAGCATTAGCTCACATCCATTGGAGCTTGGCAGGACTATTTAAACGCATGCTCTGCCACGAGAAACCCATTTTAGTACTATATTTTATCTGCGTCAATGGAAGAAGTAGAAACGCTTCACTGACTGCCTCAGCGACTGACTGTCTGACTGACTGATTGATTGGCTGATTGATGTATGTTTGGGCGAATACATACTATGTTGCATACCTTCAGAAGCTCTGCGGCTTAGGGATTATCGATTTTGCGTCCTGCACCTGACAGTCTTAGCAAATGCCGCCCTTCCTACTTTTAAAGTTGCAAATATTTCATTAGCTGGTAAATTGCTTTGCACGTGGCAGGAATAATGGTTGCAAGCATTTATCTGGTGTCCCAGGTTGCAATAAACTCCGGCGATAGTATTTAAAAGTTTCATTGCAATTGCGTTTGGCTTTCAAGTCGTTCGGCTTTTAAGCACCAGCTGCATTCGCCACATGCTCATGTTAAGTGCAGGTCCGCCGCCGAGCAGTCATTGCCGCAGGCATCTTGGCTCAATGAGCCTCATTATCGTGTGTTTGTGTTTGGCTTTAGCTTTGACTCTTGCTTTTACCGTGGCTCTGGCGTGCCACCTGATGAGGTTGCTGATAGCCTAAAGTCACCACGGACTGGACGACTGGACGATGCCTGCACAAGCAGCTTCAGGTCTTGTCGAGTACACCCATCTCAAGTAGGGCCCACAGCTTTGATGGCTTGTGGGTTTGCTTAATGTGAGACTCTGCTCAAACTAGTTATAACCGTTTATAATTTGATTTAAAGCAGTTAAGTTAACTTTTTATTTGCATTAATTTTACCAATTACCAATGCTTTTATGGCGGCATTTATTTTATTGATTGCACGCATGTGTGCATATTTTACTTAAATTCATGTTTTTCTACTATAAAATTGGCAAATTGAACAAAAATGCACGCGTTTCGACTGTTGAACAGTATGCTACAACTAACAAATACCCTGTATATGTGTTAATGCATGTAAACACACATGCAATCAGTTTCTTAGCACATTCCCATCTTACATCCGTTAAAAGGGAGCTCCCTTTGCCGCTCTGTCTTCATGGTAAACTATATCGACAAGTTTCTTAATCTTGATTAAAAAAAATATAATATATTTTCAGTTAAAATATAATTCTCACAAGTCTTCGTTTATTATTCAATCGATATGTGATATACCCTTAAGTCATGCTTTAAGGATATAGGGTACAAAAACAAATTTCAATTGCCGTTTTTTCCGTTTCTTTGCTTGTTATCAATTTGTGTGGTCGCCACTCAATGCTCCTGCATTTGGATATTTGTGTGTATGTTTGCATGTGTGTCCAT